GGCATGTTGATTTTGTTCATTTAGACATACCATTAAACAGAAGTCTCACAAACGGGGGCCTTTCTGAAACAGGAGAGCCCTTTGAAAACTGATGTTTTGAAAAAAAAAAAAAGAATTTATTAAAAAAAAAAAGAAGTAATTCTGTAATTCTAGTTTATTTTCAACTGTTTTTTTCTTTAAAGAAAAGAATGTCCTCAAAGATAAATTTGTCTTTCATAGCATATTATTTCAACTTCTGAAAGTACTTTGCATTTATGGACATCTAAGCTTCGTAACTAGGAAGTGTCTTCATGTGGATAGTGCCCGAGTGAGGATGTCTCAGAATTAGTACCTCAGACAAGACTGAGAAGAGAGATGCTGAAGGCAGACAGGAGAGGGAAGGGACAATTCCAGTCATTAAGGTTTTTCTTATTAACAGGTTTAAGTTACAACTTCAAGTGCTTCAGAGTACTTCTGTGTTTATAACCAGGGTCAAACACTTTGTGTAAGCTCCTTCTACTTCTGATACTGCAAATAAGCAAAAAGGGGCAAGACCATGGTGATTTTGATTTTATACAACTCCATTAATCATTTAAATGGCAACAAAGACATTCACATCCAGCCTCATTGTACTCCCATTGGCAAGAGCTGTCAGCCCTTGAACAGTTACTCCAGGTTTGGCTTCTCTCTTGCTCTAACAGCCTCAGCACCACATAGTTTGCATTGGAAATGAGTTGCTTACTACAACAGTGGGACGAAAAGGATCTGTATGATTTGGATTTTCTCCAAACCACAATTAGCAAAAAAAAAAAAAAAAAAAAAAAAGAATTAAAAAAAGAGCCAATTTTCTCTAGCGAGCAAAATCATACATTATTCATTTCCTCCTGTATTGTTCAGCTCCAGGTTTGGGGAGATGCTGTCTCTGTTCTGGGTTTTAGTAATCCACTGCCTTTGATTTAGTGCCCTCTTCTGTTTGATGATGTGAGTGCACGTTAGCCAATAGTTAATTATTCTCAATTAGCCCTCACTGGAGAATAACATTTCGCTGTAACTACTGAAGAAATAAAATATCCTGATGCAGGAAGAAAGAATCCAGAAGAAAGTCGCTTTATGGGAAGGTGATATATGAAGTCTCCACAGACCTCTCTAATTTAATTACAGACAGAGGAAAGACACAGAGAGGAATTATGATCCTGATATATATTACTCCCTCTCTTCTTCCACTTATTCTCCATATTTTCCCCCTTAATTCCCTTGGTTTACATACTGCAATCAATGCTGAACAGAAAGGATGAAGTACAGATAGCAGAGCTTCCTGAGACAAAGCACCAGAACCTAGCAACATATAGCACTTTTCTTAGGGCACAAGCAGAGCTCACAGATACGTCCTTTGAAAGGTTAATAAGTCTTGAAGATTTAAAATAAGGAAAATTACTTTTCATTAAACATCCAAGATCTTTAGGTGATTAAATAACACTGGATCTGCACATGGAGCTGACACCAATCATTAACGAAGCGCATGAAGAAGAGTTTTAATTCCATTGAGTCTTCCTATTTTTCAGAGCTCCTGTACATCAAGCATTGATCACTATCAGCCTGAGTTTGCTAAAAAGTCACAAGGAGGCAGAATACATTTGCACATAGCTAAACCACAAAGCAAGTCACAGTTTAAACAATATGTTTAATTACCTGCAGTTCAAACAAATGCAGGAATAACTCCAGCACAGAAAGCTCTAGTTTTAGCCCTTCTTTCCAGCCCAATAAAGCTAGAAGACCCACCATCTCCTGCAGCATCACAAACAAAGGAACAAAGACCAGGATGCAGGAAGATCCAGTTACCTACTGCGCCAGGCAGTGGCTGTAGCTCTGGGACAAACTTTACTTCCCTCATTCTGCCACCTTCCATTTGCTGCAGCAGGCAAGCAGGGCAACAGCAAAGCATACAACTAAGGCCTTTCCTAAGGGCAGAAGTACCTGCAGTATGTTAGACAGATATAAGCACCGCTTGCTCCTATGTCCTTTTGCACAAAACACCTCCCATCCTCACATCTCTCCCCTCTCCCCATACATGGCTGTGCCATCCAAGCACTCTCCCTGCAGTGACACAGGCTCAGCCTTCCATCCCCTCACCACAAGCAGAGAGGAAACAGCACCTGCAATAGATGATTACGGCCTCCAAAGTGGAACTCAGCTGTGCCATGTACTTACATTTACCCACCTGCTAGCGAGCACAGCAAAATAAATCAGTAACCTCCTCAGTCATCACTCAGCTGTTAGGAGCTTTGTGTCCTTCCCACTTCTCTGGCATAGCAATAATTGGGGTTGGCTAGTTGATTCAAAATTAGAGGGAAAGGAATCAACAAAGGAAAAAAACACAACCCTGATGCTCGGTTTGTTCTTTTTCTTTCAGAAAGCCAAGTAAATTACTATTCTATCCCATCGAAGCTTGATGCTTTGGCACAAGAAATCTTGGTTAAGGTATTTCACTCCCAGATTTTCCAAATTTTGAGTACCAATTTGTAGTTTTAGTGGTCTATTTAAATAATAGTCTTAAGTTTTTAAGAAGTAAGTAAAAACTGGAACTCTGCATTGACATCAACACACTGATAAAGAGTAAAACTTTAGCTGTTAGACAGACTTTGCCTGTCTGCAGTACTTAGCTAAGTGAATCGTGGCCAACAGCGACGGGTTGTGATCCTTCACGAGAGCCAGCGCTAGGGGGAGGTGAAACGCTTCACTGGCTGGTTTCACAGGTAGCCTGCTGGCTGCAGAGAAGCATTCTGCAGTTTGGACAAATTCAGGACTTGAATTTTATTCTGAGCTTTAAAGTATATTGTCAAACACCACCTTTTTCCCCATCTCCTTTAATCTTGTCATCTCCCTCTAACATCTGCTGTAATCTTGTTCTCCTTAATGAGCTCCTCTTCACCATTTTCTACGCTTCATCACAGCCTTTGTGTTGCAGCTCAGAAAGTCACTTTTCGAGAGGTGAAGGAACAGAAAAATATTCATCTTGGCGGTAATTAGACTGCATGCTAACATGGCTGATAAAAGTGATCAAGCACCTAAAGCAGTAAGAAAAAGAATTTCTGAGAAAGCAGCAAGGCATTTTGCATGCAGTAATTGGCTATTTATTTCTGCACAGCAGCCTCTGCATGTTACAAAATCTCTCTGCTGTTAATCTGGGATAATCAAGTGTTGAAGCAGACTGTGTTGTGCTACCTGTCATCACAGCTAAAGTTCATGATGCATTCCTATTTCCCTTGACCTCAAAGAGTAGCGTCTTTGGGGTTTTGGATGTGGTTTTCTGTTTGTTTGTTTTTTTTCTTTTTAAAGAGGATCCCTGACATGAAGCATATATACAGGTTATCCTGGGATTGTGAATTTTTTTTTTGAAACTGGAAGATTGCTTGGAAAGCTCCCTGAAGGTTGTGCTTCAATTCTTCATGCAACTGTTCCCATGGGCTAATATATTTTGCTCAATACCCAAGCAATTCCAGAGACAAAGGGACAGTCAGCAAATCCTACAATTTCAGAAACCCTACAGCCAGCTGTAGAAATCAGAGCTTTTTTCACTGGGAATTTCTGAAAATGAAGAAATAAAAAATAACATTTAAGAGAAACCATCCATCACAGAATGTTTAATCTACCAGATAAATATAGACAGACATCCAACAAAATATCAGGCTAAGACTTTTATTCCAGTAGCTTTGTCTACAAAAAAAAAAAAAAAAAAAAAAAAATGCTCTTAATCGCAGTGGCTTTATCCTCTAAGTAGAAGGCTATGGAAGGGCTTCTTGAAGCTCAGGAGCCTGATTTTGCTTCAGCATTATTCCAGTCGTTCTTACAAGCAGGTGCAGGGGGACAATAGGCCACATTCTTGTTGGAGCACTGTTATAATTTGCTGTGTGACAGGTGGAGGAGCAGGAGTTTCTTTGTGCAAGGGTGGGAATTTTAAAATGCCATCATTTCCCCTTCAGCATCTTTCCAAAGTTCTGCTCGAAGAGAAAGCAGACAGATACACCTTTTAGTTCACAGTTTTTATAGAAATTGGTTATAATAATCTTATTTGGGCCTCACTTAGAACTGTTGCCATTCTTGATGGCTGTAATGCTTTTAGCTGATGGGAACCTCTGTAAATACTTTCAAATAGATACTCATTCATGTGCATGCATAAAGCAGAATGGAGGGCTAGGAGAACACAGGCTTACAAACTAATGATTCATTATAGATTTTTCCATTATTAATACTAACAAGGCAAGGTTATTTAGTGGCTGTACATTTTGAGAAAGAGCAAAAAAGGCCACTGGCCTGCAAAGTCCCTCGTAGCAACTTTACTGTGATCTGTTTCACAGTTAGCCCAGGTTGCAAAATGCCCCTCTCTGGGGGAGAGTATTTTGACAGATAACAGCTTGTTCTGAGCTTCCGTAGACATTCTGCTCTTCATTAGCCCCTAGGAACCCTTGTCCATCTGAACACCTCTGCCATAGCCTTCCCTGGGGATTTTGCTGGCCACCTGCCAGCTCTCAGAGGAGCTTAACCAGAGCCTGAGTTGCTCCCGGTTTGTACAGGAGCATTCTCTCAATCCTCCGTTATGTTATGCCACCGCTGCAATGTCGCTGCTAAGACAGAACAACACGAAGACTACAGCAAGCTGAACGAGGGTTGGCAGGAACAGGGCCCAGCACCCCCAGGGCAGGAGCCACCACTTGGATCAAGCGTGGTAGCTCCAGCCAGCATTACTTTGATTTTCCTGATTTCTGTGATTTGCGATAAAGTCCTTATTGCTACTGCGTGCACACAGTTTTTGTTCTCAGAGCAGAAGCTTTACAAATGTTTTCTCCTGGCTACTGTTGTGCAAGGAAGGATAGCATCTACAATGTTCACACAGGAGGAAAATCAGATTTCGTAGAGCCAAATGTCCTATGGTAAAAATCGAAAATCCAAATCTTAAGACAAACAAGGTTGTTATTTCCCCCTGTGACCCAATGTAAAAATACTACCAGGTAGTTTTTATAAGGTTTTAGCTTAGTTAAAACTTTTTACTCCATGTGGAATGTTACAATGGTATAATCGTGCACCACAGTTTGGACCAAAAGGAGGAAATCAAAGTAAACATCTAGACAGCCAAGAGCTAAAACAAGTTCACCTGACATGGATTCAGTTATGCCTACTGCTTCTCTTGGTACATCTAGCTATCGTTACATGCTGGGTGGTACTTTGACACTTGTTACCAGGTGCTACTTTCTAAAGCAGAGATGTTAATTGCAGAAGTGTCTGCCTAGCCAACTTAAATCGTATTAGGTTGTCTGCTGCAGCAATGAATACTGGTCCTAGTAAGTAGCGTGCGGTGTGACGAACTGCACGGATTGTTTTGCATCTTCAGGGAGGAGTATGAGGTTTCACACAGGAATCAGCTGGTTGATTGCCACAAATATTTCCATTGAACTTTTCAAGGGCTTCAGTGCTGCTCACTGGGGAAAAGGAAAAAAAAAAAGTGTTTTAGAGGGAGCATCAGTAAATGATGTTAGCAACAGACTTCATTCAGCAGGCCTGTTTCTCTGGAACTGTCAACACGCACCGTAGTTTTGACTGCAGGTTATCAGTTAAGTGATTGCAGCATATAAACGCTACTGCTGTGTAAATCATACTTATCTGATGGCTTGTAAAAACTTGCTCTGCTATAAAGTACAATTTCAAGGAATCCCTCATCTTCAGCCACATTGCCCAGGTGTCAATGATTTCCCCTGCATGCTGGGCAGATTCCCTAAGCCTTATGTCTACAAATAGTCACTTAACTTTAAGCATGAGGTAAAGCAATTGTGTTTGTTGAGATTACTGACATACGTAGCTTCATAGCAGTGTCAGTATGGGGCCAAGAGCCACACACAGAATAACTGCTGTACTCTGAAAATTAAGGGGAACAACAGTGAGTTCTTACTCAGACAAGCTCTCAGCATCAATTCAAGGCTTGAACTGAGGATTTCATCCACTACTACTACTTGTACCCCTTCGCTGAATAACTAGTATTTTATAGAAAGTGAACTGGAATAACAGTGCAACAATTTAGGGTTGCAAGATGTTAACAGGAAAACAAAACAAGCAAACAAATCACTTCCTAACGCTATTACTTTCTTTATGTTATCGCATTTGTGTGGCCCAGAGTGGAGAGAATTTCCCGGTATCTTGGCTTTCTGATGTGATGTCCTCAGGTGCCTGTAGCTTTCATTTTGAGCAAAACCAGCAGTTTTGAGAATCACACTCTTTCATCTTTTCTGCACATCTCACCCGTATTCGTTAGATATATGTTCCCCTTCATACCATAATTTCCAGTAAAATACAGACATTGTATTTGGTAGAGGAACACCTTACACAAGTATTATGTAAATTATTTTATAATGTTGGCATTGGTTTTATTTTTTCCTTAGTTTCAAATGCTAAAACAACATGTAAAAAGACCCAAGACATTTGGCTTATTTACTAATGCAGCTTAAGGACAGCATTTACCTCTTATCAAATGAAGATAAGAGGCATTAAGATAATTTATATTGCAGTGGATGATGGACTAAGTAAACCTGCACTTGAGGCCGACTCATAGTACTGTGCCATTATGTTTCAAGTGCTCATAGACATACAACATACATTTTGAGGACACACTGAAAAATAAAAGTTTCTTTGCTCTGTTTCCTTCTCCTCTTGCACCGGTGCTCCAAGATTTAATGCATGAATTGTTAACTGGAAGTAAAAATAATGTGGAGAATTCCTGACCTGAAAGGTTTATTTGCTTAGTTTTCATTTGTCCCTATTCTAATTAGTATCTTTTCTACCAAGCTTCATGTTCATTTCTCAGCCAATCTATCAATCAATTTCTTTCCCCTTAGGGTTTTCTCACCATCTTGCAGTCCATTTTGGAAAGGGGGTCACACAGAATAATAAAACTCAGAAAAAATGTTTTATTCTATGATGTAATATGTCCAACTGATAATATCTAAGTATTCCTTAATCCCAGTCTACGGCAACATTAGTTGAAGGCTATCAGTCATGTTTCAGGAGGAGCTGCCTGAGGGATCAGAACCAGTAACAATGTTGTACTTGATATTTTCCCCTAGCACAAACTAAAAGTGCAGAGAGCTTAATCTAGAAAAATGTCTTTAAAAAATAAAAATAAAAATAAAAATAAAAATAAAAGGCAGGTCACTTGTATATCATAATATCCCAGAAGACTAGTATCTCTGTAATTGAAATCAGCATCCAAAGAACAAATTTGGCCTTGCAGAGAACCATAATTCTTGGGTCTTAATCCAGTTTGCAGGGAACTAAGCTAAAGACACAAATAAATAACCAGTGTGGCAATTGGTAGTTTTGCTCCCTAACCTCAAAAAGATGTTCCTAACCAATAAGAAATGCTTCAGTTAAGTTATTTTTTACAGTGCACTTGTTACGTGTGGAAATACCAATTCACCATCAGAGTGCATGTGCAGACTTGCCACATCCTGCATTTGCCACTACCCAAAAAAAACAGAAAGGTGAATTGCGGGAAACCTCAATGCTGCAATTGCACTGTGTACCTTTAGGGTTCTTTAGCAATTTCTTCGGGTGTCTCCTTGTCCACAGAAACTGAAAATGGAGACAAAATGCTAGTGAGAAACATTGTATGGTATACCTGCAGAAGAAAAGGAAACAACTTACTCAGCTACAAATAAGAAGGGTCTTTTGGACTACAGGGATATGATTTTCAAAGTCATATCAGGTATACAGACATTTTTCTTTATACTGTTTATATCTAATTGTAAAAGAGTTAGCAGCCAAACTTTGAAAATCTCTGTGATGTTGATTTAACACACATTTTTCTTTGCATTCAATTATATTGTTCAACTTCAAGAGCAATATAAGAATGAATCATTTATATCTGTACTGAAACATTGTAAGGTTTATAAATATCATTTTCTACATTTTTCTATACAGCAATGTAATTTAAGAAAATTCTATCTTTCAAATGAAGTCAAACTTTTTTAAAGAAAAAGTGTTACATCACATAGAGCAAAAGGGAGAGTTTCATGTTTTTACTGGACTGTACGTCTAGCCACTTGGCAGGGCACTGAGCTCAAAATGCCCCCATGGCCCACCTACTGGCACCCATTTCTAATGCATAGCAAATCACTTCAACATTAAATTTTCTGCTAACACTGCCAAACGCAGTCACCACCAGCAGACACATTGTGCCACTTCAGTTCTGCACGCTCTTGCAGCTAGTTCAGTGCAAGCTGCTACCAGTGGTTTTCAGAGACCAAAGGTTTCAGACCCAGCTGTACTCTTGCACCTTCTGAAGTCTGCCCCGACTCCTCAGCATCAGCGTCCTGGTTCCTTGAGGCTGTGTCAGACATCTCTTGAGCTGCTGAGGCTACTCCTTCCTCGACACTGTCTAAGTTTTCCTCATGGTCAGAAGAAGCTGCAACATCCAAGACTTCACTCACAGTTTCTATGAATCAAATCAGAGAGATAATTGTCTTGTCTTTCCTGTCGATTCACTGGCACAAATAAGGGAAAGCAGTCAAGAATGTGAAGTACCTGCCTAACACACATGCTGGAAGTAATTGGAGGCAACAGAGTCTATGAGATGATTAAATCTTATCATGCAAATACACTTTTGCAAGTGGAATTCCAGGAAATATCACAACTAGTATCTGACTATTCCTAGCCCTGGGGCAGAAAGCTATAAACATGAGATGTTTTCATGTCCTAAAGAAAAGGTACATGTTCTCCAAACTGTGTATACTCTTACAGATACAGATTTTATCTCCTGATGCCTATTTATTAGTGTATCTGTGTATCTACATTCTACAGGGACACCAAACACATCACATTTTAAAATGTTACTCAAGCAAAATGTCTCTTCTCATATTCTTCTAACCTAGGCTTTGCATTTTTGAAAACCTGTGAGTAATTGTCTCTGCTTACTACAGAAAACTCTAGCTAGTGCTTTCCCTCCTTGGAAACTGGAGTGGTGTTCACATTCATGCTTTGAGTGCACATGGACAGAATTTCGTAGGAGCAACCTTTTTGATGCCACAACTGAAATGCTCCTTTCAGCTCCTGGCTGCATCAGCTGGGGCAGTTTAGACCACTCATTATCTATTACTCCAGACACTATCTCTAGCAAAGATTCAGACTAGCCCAGGAAGACCATTTTAGCAGCTTTTTTTTTTCCTTATTGCATTTATGACAAGCTACTAGGTGTCATTTTTTGTTCTGGGCACCATGAAAATGCATCATGAAAATAAGTCCTGCTCACTTTGTAATTCTGTTGCTATCACCACGGCTTTCTTGACATGTCTATATTAAACTGAAAGTTGCCCACAGCAACCTGACAAAACTGTGCTTTACATCAGGACATGTATGGAAAATTATTAAACACCTAACGAGATTTTAGTTTCTCTGTATTGTCACAGTTAGAAACTTAGGAAAGGAGGAAAAAAAAAAAAAAAAGGTAATAAGCCATTCTGTGTGGTCTGCTCTTACATTGTTGTCATTCTGTTCAGTGTTCAGCATGGTAACGTGACATGTTCTTTATAGTCAAAGATGCAATAGAGCATACAGATCAGGAAGGGTCTTTGCATGTGGTTTTTGTTGTTCAACGATATTGATCAACTTTTCAGAGATTTTCAGTGTGCTTTCTTCCTATTTCCATTGCCAAAATATCATCCAAAGATGGTATCAACCTGAACACGGTGCTGTACAACTCCATAACCACAACTGCTATTTTGAATGTTAATCTGACATACCAAAACAAGTCTCTATTTTTTGGTGGTTTTTACACAGCTCAGTCTTGGAACAAATGCAGTGTCCCACTCACAAGATAAACACATTTTTCCCTGTTCTAGGGAATTCCTGTGATCCCAGGGCAAACCAAGTTTAATGATTACCTGGCAATCTGAGAACAAGTCACCCACCGCTTGCAGAATCGGGTCCGTGACACAGTTCCTTGTCTGTGAAGGGCATTAAAGATTACAACAGGGTCCATCACATCTCCCTCTTCTATTGATCAGCTAACAGCACAAAGCATTAAGAAGTTCAGGAGTTTCTCCTTTTTGTTTCCTTAAATATTAATTTAATCTCAATGGGCTTGCTTGGGTTTTTTTATTATTTATTTATTTTTATCTGCATGCTTTTCGTATTTTTTTCAGTGCTGCCTAATATCTCTGTTGTTCTATGTACAATACTGCAGTAACGCTACATAAAAGAAGATTTTAATCTGTGCCAGGTACAGTGATAACTCGTTTTTCATAATCCTTGGAAGCACTTCTCTGTCTATTCAGTTTTCATGAAGCTGATAATAAGCCTGTCATGAAGCTCCATAGAAGTTAATAGAGGAACAGAGGGTGTATTGAAATCACTTCTAACTTTTGGTAGTTCTACAATTCCACAAAATTTAAGCTCATTTTTCAAATAGAGCCGTAGAGGTGTTATAGCATCTTAACTGATTGTGTAGTTTTCTGAAGGCTGATCAGTTTGAAATTCCAAAGTCCCCATATGTCTTTGTGCAGCAATGACTGTGACCCATTTTCTCTATTTACATGAGCTTTCTGGTGATTTCTACATGCTTTGACTGAAAATAATCTGCCTTGTGTAACTGCCTCTCTGCAGTGAAGACACATGGTATTTAAGTACTGTTTGTATAATGCTCTCCACTGAATGCCCAGCTGCTTTCTTATAAATATTATACAATACTACGTCAGCTCCTTAACGTCTTTATCAAAACACCTATTTGCAATGTTCCAATCAAATTAGTCTTAAATGACTGTCACCCCAACCCAGATAATATAAAATCTAAAAGTGGCAATGCTCTTGATATTCTTAATTTTTCTATATTCTCAAGGTATTTTTTTTTCTTAATTCGGTAGATAACAAACAAAACAACCAACAACAGCAGCAACAAAAAAAACAAGTACATCATGCATTAGCAGCACTGCAGTTAATGATTTCATAATTTTACAGTTTCACTCAGTGCTTTATCCTGTTCCAAATCTTTGTAGGACGTATTACTCTACAGAAGCTGTACACTTCATAATTTTAGCATTGTACTATTGCATCTGAAGATCTGAATTAGGAGCTTAGCTTTCTAGTCCTTCCAACAAAAGCTAACAGAGAAGAACTTCAAGCCTCAGAGAAATCAAACTAATCATGTTTACCAGCAAGTAGCCAGGCTATACATATTGCATTAACGGATGTTCTGAAAGTGTTCAAAGGGATTATAACATACTGAAAATTTAGAGAGTACAAAGACCTCAGGCTATTTAAGCCACTGGCATGATGTCACTACACAACCACCAGTACAGAACTCAACACCTTTATAATATCCATTGCTTCAGTGTAACACTGAACTCAAACAAAAATATCCCCTATTTTTGCCTAAGATAATTACATGCACTTTTAAGTGGGTTTTAGATCCCTTTGCTTTACAAGATACCCATTTCAAGGTGAAATAAGCCTTTCCAAATTGTGCATGCAGAAACATGACTGGGCAAGAACCAGCTGCACATTAAACATGCACCAAACAATAACAAACTAGTTATGTTATGAAAGCCCATCTGTTTTGAGTTAAGTAAATATAAAAAAGGAAATTGATTTTATGGACAAAAGGAAATTAGCTTGTTTTGGTTTTAGACAAGGCAGCAGCATTAGGAAGCTCCAGTAGCTTATAGGCACTATGTCCAACATCCAGTTCCACCCAGCAGTATAATTTTTAGAAAACTGCGTTCCTATCATTTCAGTGAAAAAAAAAGCTTCTTCCTTTGTAAAATATTTATTCCTGCAATCTCTAAAGATACAATTGTTACTCTTACAAATGCTACAAGCTCTAGCATTGAGAAAGCAGGACTGTACATTTCTGCATTCAGAATAGAACAGAAAACATTCCAAATCCATTGCATTTCTGCATTCTCATGGTTTTCCATTGATTGTCTTAATATTAGCGAGCTCAGCATTCTCCCTGCAGAACAGAGAAGCATGATAAGCAGGGACTTGTATGGCCTGTATGACTGATGTTTGCTCCAGCTAACAATACAAAAAATAAAAATCAGCAAAAAACACACATGGGTTGATTTTCTCCTGCTAATAACAAACATATGGATGCACTTTCAGAATCCAGATCCTACTGCTTGCATAGCATCATCCCTCAAAGCTTTGAAGCATTTTAAACAAGCTTTAAAACTATCCTGAGGGACTTTTCAAGCAGGATCAACTTGGACTTTTGTCTGGGACTCAAGAGTTCCAGTCTGAGATCAAACCAACTTCCCTTGGCAGTTGTGTCCCTGCCACGATGGCAAACAATATGCTATAGTGTGGTCCTGAAGCAGGCAGGTGAAAGGGAGGGATGGCACAAGCTGAGTGGGCACTGATCAGTTGGTCTGAAATCTGCTAAGAACATGGCTCCTGCAAAGTTTGTGTAAATGATAATGTTTCTGATAGCACTTGCTGCATGGGAGATATTGTCAGGTTTTAGAGTTCAGTGTTCATAAAGCTGAATTTTCCATATTGTGTTTCATACCACATACCAATGCCTGAAAGCTAACAAACCAAACCAACAATGGTCAAATACATACGTATTATTTCCTGACAGGTTTCATTGTAATAATTCCTGAAAAAAAATAGTAAGATATAAGAAATCAAAGAGAATTAAAAACAAAGTTTACTTCTTTACCTACTACACTCATCTCCTGTAATGTCAGCATTGTCAAGAGGTGAACTCAGAGAGTCAGAAGTCTGACTCCCCTGTCTAGTGTGCAAGTGTGAACTACTCTGGAAGCAAAACTTTTTTTAGAAAAAAAAAAAAAAAAAAAAAGCAAAAAGCAGAAGTCTTTTTTAGTACTAACTTAAACTAAAGTTTAAACCTTGCAGCAATTCAAGAAAATCAACCATGTTAATGTGAGGGTTAGGTCTTCTTCCACTAAAGTAGCAGTTAACAATTAATTGCTAAGAAAAACAAACAAAACATTTTACACGTAGAAAGAAGTTATCTGAAAAAGGAAAGAACTGCTGTCCTCCTTCCTCATGCATGTGAAGGACTTTACCTTGTGAAGAAATACACCCTCCTCTTAATACGAACAAATAGAGGAGACTGACACGTTAGGAGCGGCATGAAAAAAAGAGAAAAGTCCAAGTTTAAAACAAAACAAAAAAACATTTGGAGAGTGGGGGGCACTCCAGGAATTCAGAGTTTCATTCCTACAGCCAAACTTTCACTACCTTTGGCCAGTTGACTCAGCACTGTTTCGGAGTGCTCTCCTCGTACAGAGTGCTTTAGTGTTGAAACCTGTTGATAATTCTTGACATCTAGGGACAACAATTTATAGATGACCAAATAGCCAGCAGGTGTAATTATACAATCTTGTAAAATAGAAGAATATAATAAACAAGACTTTACATTTTACTGTGTATTTTTGAAGCATTTTCTTAAGCATGCTTTTCTTATGTACAATA